GCTGGCGGGCGGCGGCGGGTGCAGGGCGGCCTTGGCGGCGGGGGAGCCGGCCCCGGGCCCGCCGGCGGCCGCCCCTTGCAGGGAGAAGGTCCGCTTGCGGGTGCCGCCGTTGAACATGGCCTTGACATCCTCCCAGGCGTGCGACAGCTCCTCCGTGGCCGTCTTGTCGCTGAGCTTGAGGTGGCGGCGCCAGGAGTTGAAGTTGGCGGCGTCGGGCTGGGTGTACTTGGAGTCCGGGGTGCGGTGGGAGTGGAAGATGAACTTGTTGGGCGAGAAGTACATGCTGCAGTAGCTGCACTTGATGCACTTGGCGCGGGAGCTGTTGTAGCGCGCCGGGATGAAGCTGCCCCGGGAGCCCCAGGCGCACTCGTGCACCACGTCGAAGGCGAAGTTCTCGGGCAGCTTGGGCGGCTTGTGCTCGCCCAGGAAGGACTTGCAGAGCCGCTCCGCCTCCCTCTTGGTGATCATGCCGCAGCGGCGGGAGGAGATGGGCATGGCCCCGGCCCGCCGCAGGATCTCCAGCTGCACCGGCGTGCACTGCACGCAGGTGATGCCCAGGGCCACGCGCCGGTTGTGGATCTCATTGTAGCTGTAGTTCTTGAGCAGCGTGTTGGAGATCTGCGCCAGGCACAGCCGCTCCTGCCCGTCGATGACCAGGGACACGATGGGCACGCCGTACAGGGAGGTCTCACCCACTTGGTTGGGCTTGAGGGTATTGGAGCCCTGGTACGGCTGCAGCTCTTGCTTTGAATTTGGGGAGGAGCTTGCATCTCTCCCATTTCCCATCTGACTGGCGATCGCCTCCATTCCCCCCCAAAACGCCCCTGCAAAACGAAATCGGGGAAAGGCGCAGGTTAGAGGCGCTCCCGGGGCCCCGCCGCCGCTCCCGGCCCGCCCCCCCCCCCCCCCATCCCCGTGCCCACCCCTCCATCCGCCGCCCGCTCGCACTCACCGCGCCGCGGAGCCCGGCTGGACGTGCAGGCTCTGCTCGGGACTAGGGGCCGCAGCCCGGAGCCGGGGCCGCCATCGGCCGGGGGGGCCCGTCGGCACCGAGCCCGTTCCCGGGGCAGCCGGAGCTGCGGGGCGCGGGGCGGGCGGGCAGCGGGCGCGCCCTTCACCGACGCCTCGGGGCCGCCGCCCGCCCCGCCGCCGCCGCGTCCGCCCGGGCGAGATGCAACAAGAGCGAGTGACCAGCCGCGCCACCGAGGGAGGATCCGGATCCGTACTTGGAGACGCTGCACATTGATCCAGTGACAGCTAAAATAACGGGAAGACACACCCACTTAGCACCAGCATATTTACATTAACGGCCTCCGGGACCCCGCCGCCGTCAATCACCGATGCGCTCCAGTCAATCACGGCGCGGCTTTAAGGCACGGCGGAACGGGGAGGGAGCGGGAGGGG